CTAGCAAGGAGATCGGGCTGAAACTATAGCTACAAGCTATCCAAGGATGGTACTATAGAATGTCACCTCAAGGTAGGCCTAGTGGCGTCATCTCTTGGTTAGGCCGGAAACTTATCAATCCACCCTCGTAATTATAATATCTCTTCAGAAAATTGAATATGTCGGACGACCACATAAAACTAATTGTTTCTATCCATCGAGAACAGTAGTTTTTTTTTGGATAAAAGTTACCCTATGTCCTTTTCTGTACCCCTGGCAATGTGTGTACAAAACTCCTTAATGATCGGTTAAGTAGTTAAGGTGTGAAATGGTAATAAATAAACAAAACAAACACACATTTACATTTGTAATAGTAGTATTCATTTACAAAAGAAAATACAAAGAAATAAATCTTACTCTGGTTAATCATAACAGTTTAATCATTAAAGCATTTAGGGTTTTATAAGATGATAACAAAGTGCATGTGTTTCAACCCTCAGGCTTGCCAATTTTGGCAACGTTTGTCGAAAAAACTTGTAAACTAAGCAAGTATTAACAATTGTTGACAAAATGAGGTTGCTTTTGTTATAATTTAAGGTCTCTAATTTTGTTATACTTAATAATTGCTATACTGTCATCGTAATAAAAATTTGAAACACTTTCATCAAATGCTTTGGTATCCTTTTTAATTTATTTTTAAGAGAAGATTAACAAGCTCGTCAATTTTTGAACCATGTTAAGTATTCCAAATTAAAAACGGTTTTAAAAATAACGAACACAAATTTTAGTGCCTATAAAAGAAGAATGTTGTACTGGTGCCATCGGTGTTTTGCCTTTACTTACCTAATTCTGAAGAAGTGACCTACAAATTGCCGACATGTTCCGTTATGTTTTACCCGTGGACAATCAAAATACGGTCGGTATATAACAGTTTAACGAATGTGACTTTCTCGGTAACCTGAATTTAAATTTTGCAATCGCTTCTTTATAAATTTAACTAAACATCTGAGTGAATACACAGTCACTTCCTTAACTACAAAACAAAAGAATGCTAAAGATTTTTACTTATTAATACATTTGGTCATTATTAATGAACTTTATCAAAATTATTCGTTTTATGAATATTACTAAGTAATAAAATAAAAAATAATCAATAAAATCTGGTAATGTAGAAATTGCAACAAAGTCTACATTGGACAAACAGGAAGATCGTTTGAGAAAAGAATAAAACAACATAAATCATACTAATTTAGAAATTCTAGCTTAACCTGGGCAGATTATAAACATACTTTTAATAATAATTTTAAGCAGAAACTTAAAAGTACTTCCAACCAGAAGTAACTAGTACCTACAGTCCTTCCATAAGAATTTGCATTTTCAATAAAAACTACTATTAAGTAGGTATGGCTAGTTGACAGGAGACATTTTTTTTTGCTTCAGTTTTTTCTGTCACTTATTATTTTTTTGTTTTTATTACTAATTATTAAGACTTTACTTTATACCATATTTAAAAACACCAATTTCTAATATCTTTCTTTTAATTTCAGGTCATCATGGAGAGATTATTTTCTTTCCTTTTCTTCTTAGTTCTAACAGTCACTGCGCAAAACGTTCCATCTAACCATAAACCAACAGAAAATAGTGTTGGAAGTGGTAGGATTCTAAATTACAGTCCATCAAGTGGTCAAGACCAAAATACGGATGTAAAGATTGAAGACACGTATTCTAATCCATCAATTGATAGGAGATATCAAGACACCGCTCCATCCAACTATAATTTAGATCCAGGACCAGTGGAGCAAGACAAATATGGATATGAATTTAAATATCATGACTTCGACCAAATGACGCGGTTTTTAAGAGAAACTACAGCGAAATATCCTAGTCTAACAGCTCTTTATTCTATTGGAAAGTCCGTACAAGGTAAAAAAAATAATACACTGTGTTCGTGTTGCCCTTTCCTACCGTCAATGAAAAGATCGGTGCACTGCGAAAGTTTGCCATTTTTCAGAGCCAAAATTCAGAGATGGCAAATAAACTGTTTTGTTGATACGTTACTTGTTACCAAATTGCGAAAAATTATCTAAAGTAATAAAAATTAAGTAATTTAATTACATACTTCTTACTCATATAAAATCTCCAAAATCATTTCATTATATAGTCACTTGGTAGTAGTTAAGGGGGTGTTTGTTTTGTTAGGCCGAGACTTGTGGGTAATGGTGGTATCATCATCCCCATATGAGCACATGATTGGAAAACCTGATGTCAAATATATTGGTAATATTCATGGAAATGAAGCCGTTAGTCGAGAATTGCTGCTTCAATTAATATATGTAAGTAAACGTAGTTATAATTATGTCCCATTTGTTGTTCCAGAAGAAATAAAACACGTCGAATCTATAAAAAATAGTACCTACAGGTACAGTATGCAGAAAGTTTTATGAGTTACGACCTTGGCTGTTGGTTTTCGGGTATTAAATTATCAGTATCGATCGCTTGCGGCATTCGTTTATATAATACGCTTTTCTTCTACTGCCAATGATTTTACATCTATAGTATGTGAATTTTGAATTAATACTTCACTTCCCTTAGAAGTTTGATGCCTCTGCCAAACAAATGGACAGACAGCGTTGACATACCCTGATTTTAATACCAAGTCTTTCACGTTCTAGTCCAAAATGACCTTAAGTAATATTCAGAACGACAAAAAGGTCCCTTCTTTTACATGAGTTATTATTAACAAAAATATTTTTATAAAGCATTAATAAATCATACTTTGCTACCACATTTATTCTTCTCTTATTTGATTTTATTCGTTTATTTATTTACCTTTAATTACAGTATTTAGTGACGAGTTATTCTACTGACAGTTACGCCCAGTGGTTGTTAGATAATACAAGAATACACATAATGCCTTCAATGAATCCTGACGGATTTGAGGTTTCAAAAGAAGGACAATGTGATACCGGACCTGGGAGGTACATGATCTTTATCTTCCATTTTTTTAAAGTACTTTGAATAATTAAAAAAGCAAACATTCTTTGTTACTGGAAAGGGAACTGAATTTTCTAATCAAGAAATTCTCTTCCAATAAAATCAATAATATTGTGAAATTGCTGATGATTCTGTAATTTACCGTAAAATTCATAATAATTTCCTTTACGTAATCAATTTCAAATTTTAATGACTGTTAGTGTTGATGAGATAACATTTTTCTGATTTCTAAACTCGTGTTTTGTAATAATGATCACCCAAAGAAACATCCCTTTCACAAACATGACACAACAACGTTAACAGCAGGTGTGATGTAAGAGTTGCTTTCTGACTGGAAATTTAATTATTTCTAGATACAATGCCCGAGGTTACGATTTGAACAGAAATTTTCCCGATTATTTCAAACAAAATAACAAAAGAATGCAACCGGAAGCAGAGGCTGTAAAAGAATGGGTCTCAAAGATACAGTTTGTTTTGTCAGGAAGTCTTCATGGAGGTGCTCTTGTTGCAAGTTACCCTTTTGACAACACACCAAATTCACGTAAGTACTCCAATAAAAATTTTTAGACATCAGAAATTGGAATTTTCAATTTATTTGTCTTGGTTTTGCCATTTTCTTTTCCAAATATTTCGTTTCTTCTACTTCCATTTCTTATAATCTGTACATAATTTAAATATTTTTGTTAACGTGGCATATTTGGGTTTTCATCTTTTCTGTTTTTTAATGAATGAATTTATTGAGTTTATTTTGTGCTGCAAGGAATCTGCAAATCTTCAGCGCTTTGCTCTTGTAAGTGTTACTAGAAGTTCATATGAAACTACTTAACAACATCTTTAATCTTCCTGTCTCTCTCAGTGTTCCAGAATTACGCATCATCCCCATCACTCACACCTGACGATGACGTTTTTAAGCATTTATCACTGATCTACTCTACAAACCATGCAAAAATGAGCAAAGGTGTCGCCTGCAAAACATCCAAAGGTTTTCTTAAGGTACTTCTCTTGGGATGAAATGAATTTGGTCCCAAATTAACTTTGTTTAATGTTAGGGCATAACCAACGGTGCAGCATGGTATCCATTAACAGGAGGAATGCAAGACTTCAATTACATATGGCATGGATGCATGGAAGTCACTCTGGAGGTGTCATGCTGTAAATATCCGCCTGCTAAAGAACTTCCTAGGTATTGGGAGGACAATAAAGTGGTAAGACGTTAGAAAAACATAACTTTTGACAATTTATTAACTATTTATTTTGTCGCAGGCCCTTATTAAATTCTTATCAGAAGCTCACAGAGGTGTTCATGGTTTTGTCATGGATGAACATGGTAATCCAGTTGAGAAAGCTTCCTTGAAAATAAAGACAAGAGATGTTGGATTCCAGACAACTAAATACGGAGAATTTTGGAGAATACTTTTACCCGGAGTTTACAAAATGGAGGTAAGCAATTTGGTTTCTTTATTTTTATGATGCTTAAAATTTTCAAAGCAAGAATTACGTAACAATTTCAAACAGGTTTATGCAGATGGATTTGTACCAAAAGAAGTAGAATTTATGGTTGTAAACGAGCATCCAACTTTATTNTTGTCACACCCCCGATGTAAATTTTATTCTCCTCTATTTATCCTAAGTAATATTATACTATAAATTATAAATGTCAATGTGTTTTTTTGTTTATTTGTTTGTTACAATTTTACGCCTTAACTACTCAACCGATCATCATGAAAATTTGTACACACATTGTCAGGGGTACAGAAAAGGACATAGGGTCCCTTTTATTCAGAAAATAAATACTGTTCCTGGGGGATAGAAAAATTAGTTTTATGTTATCGTCGATGATCGTTGACACATGTTTAGGACATCAACGCGAGTGAAGCCGCTAGTAAATTTTGTACACACATTGTCAGGGATGCACATAAGGACGTAGGGTACATTTTATCCAGAAAATAATAAAATCTAACCGAACAATTAGTTTTATGTGGTCGTCGATTATGTTTGACACGTATTTAGGACATCATTGAGAGCGAAGTCGCGAGGAAAACCTAGTAATAAATACGTATCCTGATATTGGCGAACTATTAAAATTTACAGACATCTAAATACTCTTATTTCTTTTGAGAAAGAAAATAGCTAAACGTAGCACCTGAATAAATACGTTTTCAATGTCAAAATGCAAATAGTAAACTGAACTTCATTTTTCTGAATGACATAGCACTGCGATATATAAGAAGAGAAACTGATTTCTGCTCATTCTTTTTGTCAAATATTTTAAGAAACTCCACATTTAAATATGACTGTAATTCTTAAATAACGAAGGAATTTTTTTAACATCAATTAAAGCTACTACTACTAAGTTATTATTCTCAAATTAATGTTACGATTACATTGATGTTGCAAAACCACACAAAAATTTTCAAAGGATATGAAGTGTAACTTAAACATAGGAATAAGTTGCTGAAGGAACTGGAAAATCTAGTGAAAAGTTCAACAGAACTACAAAATTTAAGAGGGCTCTCACAGTCAGAGACGAAACATCTGGTAAATTTGATTCCTGTCATCGACCACACGGTCCACTAGCCCAGAAAGCATTAAATAATTATTAATTATGAAATGGGTTCAATTTCGACATGACTTACAAATGGTATAATTGAAGAGAAAGTGACAAATGTAGGATTAAAATTTTCCACAGGTAACTGTAATCATTAAAAAAGTCACTTCCGGTCATGTTCAAACTAATTTCTGGTCATTTTATGATTACGCAGTATGGGTGTCAATAATATTAAAGAAAAACATTTTTACTTAACAATAATAATTGGTTTAGAAAAATGGATCTTCCTGTATAATTTTCATATGTTGAAGGACTTTGTTGTTACGAAAGAATTTGATTTCTGTATTGCAGAATACATATTTTATTGGTGTTATTTTGTAATCAAAAATGTTTATACGAGGGTGGATTGATAAGTTTCCGGCCTGACCAAGAAAAACAAGGTTTTTAAAAATTTTTTTTTTTTATTTCTCAACATAATCTCCTCCAAGGCTGATACATTTCTCATAGCGGTGTTCCAGTCTATTAATGCCATCTCTATAGACTGATTCGTCAAGCTCCTCA